CAAATGAGCAGCTTTTTACTAAGAAAAGGACGTTTGCTAAATTTCAGATCAGTATCTCAAAAGCTAAGGCAGGTAAAGACAGTTTAAGTCGACTCAGCTCAGCACAGTGATAAAAGTTCGATATTATGCCGAAAAATGTATATGTATGTTATATATGTATGTATATGTGTATGTATACTTGTGCACACATTATTTTTAATAATTTCACAAAAAACTTATACACAGTATTCATGGAATACATACAGAATATAAAAAAAGAGAATATGAAAAAATCAAAAACTCAATAAGAAGTACTACTTTAGTGCCAGTTCTAGTTTCTTATCACAAATATCACTAAAAAAAAAAATAAAAAAATATCACTAAAAAAAAAAATAAAAAAAAAATCATTAATATCTTAGAAATAAAAAAAATAAAAAAAAAATCATTAATATCTTAGAAATATATATTTATTTCCTTAATTGAATTTCACAAGAATTAATGCACTTTATTTAAAGGAAAAAATAAGATAAATAAAATTTATTAATATAACCGTTTGTTTGTATGTATCTTAGAACTCTAGTATGCATATGTATGTATCTATTAACTAARTTTCCACTTATGCCACGCACCACAAGAAAAGTCCGACCGATTGAAGCACTACACAGATACTGAATGAAAAAACGAGCACTGGAACCGCGTAARGTACAGCACATCAACACACAAACCGTTAGTTCGGCAGTCAACGCAAATTCGGGCGAGTAGATACGAGTAGGCAGGCCCACTTTTCAGCTGAGCTGATAAGCCACGAACCGGAGATGACATATAACAACACAGGCATAACAAAGAGAGTAGAGGAGCCGACCTCCACTTAAGGAGAGCGGGTAATAGGAGATACGTAGATTCGTGGCATATGCGCGTTATGAGTGTCCTACAAAAGACTTTCACTTTCTTCATGTTGCRGAGCGATGAAAGTGAATTTTGAGCAAGAAGATGCAGAGATGGCTACCGCTCCATAACTAAAGTAAAACCAACAACGATAATATGGACAAGAAAGGTCGAGTGCTCACACAAAAAGAGTCGAAAAAATCATTTGCTCGTGAACATGCGCATGATGTTGAATGATAGACATATATTCATATATATATATCTATGTATGTACATTGTATATGTGTATATGTGTATGTGTAAGTATAGAGTACGAAAACAACACACGAAATTTCATTTTCAATTCGCTCAATTTTTGTGATACASACAAATTCATGACCCTCTGCACGCCGCTCCGCCTAAAAACAAGCTTTCGCTAGCCCCCACCGTCTGATGGCTTTAGTGACGGCATGTGGCGTGCAAACGAACACACACATTCACGCYCGCTGCTGTTTGCGCGCCGACATTGACGAAGGTCAAATAAGAGGCAAAACATGTTGCGTTACATTTGCTATTGTTGTTACTTCACTTTTTTTGTTTGTTACTGTAGCTATTGCAACATTTTGGGCTGYTGTTGCAAATACGGTATTGTTGCAGAACTTTCGTGTAGTAAATTAGGTATGTATCAGGTAGTATACCACATGTATGCATACAAGTTTTCCTTTGAGTAGAACGCGTGATTTGCTTCCATGCATTCTGTTTGGATTTATTTTTATATTTACATATAATTTTAATCGTATAATATTTATTTATGACATTTTTCGCCTACACAAGCAGGTGCTTTGGAGACCACACGCATGGTGGCGAAAGTGTTTTGTAGGCTTCGTTGACACGCTTGACATTGAAAGCGAAATCAGTCGGTAAGAGTCCTCATGGAAATGTTTTTGGAAATTCAAATTTACATACATGCTTATATATGTATATATGTACATCAAKACTTTTATAGAGACACATACATTGCGTATATTGCGCAAGAAGTGAATGTGATTTGTCAACTTAAGAGAGTAGTGAAATTATTCATAACAATTTTTAAGGATTTAGTGAGTTTCTAATTTTTTATAAGTGCTTATATTTATAAATTATTTAACGATTTTTTC